AGCTTTTCCTCATCCTCTTCTCGCCTGGATCACATGGGCTCTGGGGTCGGATGTGTTTGAAATTGATGTTGGTTCCCAAAACAAAAAAAAAAAACAGCACCTGTTTTTCACAGGCTGAGACACAAACCCATTCATCTCCTCTCATTTAGAAACCCTTCCTCCTTTCTGAACCCTGAAATAAACTGTTTTCCACCCAGAGTTCACCAGCGCTGCTAAAACCTGAACCTGTGCATCCATTACTTCCAAAGGGCCGTTTCCCCCCCCTCTGTGTTCTTAATTGACAGATAGTATGTAATGAAATCATTATGGGCAGAACCAAACCAGTTTGAGCATCTTTTCATTTGTGAAAAAATGCAATTCAGCGCTATTGTTAGAAGCTAGGCTTAGAGTTAAGGATGGTCACTAAAATGGTAATGTACATTTTTGGAAGTTCCTGCCTAAACTTCTTATGCACCCAATAAATGAGAAGAAGGGGACCCCCATGCAGTCAGTATCTGACATGCAGGCGGCTTGACCAGGAATCCATTTTTGAAAAGTCAGCGTAAGCCTTGCCACCGAATTCCCAAACAACCAAGATAGAGTTTGAATGCATCGATAGCTAGCAGTAAACCCTGAGGAGTTTCAATAAGGATATTGTTGTTTTTAGCCGTAAACTAAAAAGGTCTTTCTTTATTTTGACCAAATGTTTTAGATCGTTATTCTGAAAGATGCAATAGTGATCTGAAACAAACTCAGAAATCTTCTTCAGACCTTAATTTGGGTGGAGTGGCGGTCTATTGGTCAGGGCATAGGGCTTTGAATCCTGAGGTTGCGAGTTCAATCCCCCACTCCCAGAGACTGTCACTCTGGGTCCCTGAGCAAGACCCTTAACCCCTTAACCCCACACCTGGGTGCCGCAATGGGGAGGAGTTAAATGCAGAGAGGGAATTTCCCTCTGGGATTATTGGAGTATATAAAAAGAAAAGAAATAATAATTCTGAAGAAACCTGAGCTAACGAGAAACTAGACCTGGAGAGAAGATCTTGGTCAGGGGTAAGGAACCCAAAGTTTCCATATCGAACCAAAAACAAAATGTGTGTGTTTTATCCCATCATTTTCAGCACCATCATCCCACAGCATCTGATGGGCAAACTGGAACAGCTGGGCTTCAATACACCCCTCTGCTATTGGCTGCTAGACTTCCTCACCAACAGACCTCAGTCAGTCCGGGTCGGACCTCTGATGTCATCAGTCTAAGCCCCTCCCCTCAGGGCTGCGTCCTGAGCCCCCTGCTGTTCACCTTGATGACGCACGACTGCGTCCCCAGGTTCACCACCGATCACATGGGGAAGTTAGCAGACGACACCACGGTGGTGGGCCTCATCAGAGACGACCTGGACTACAGAGAGGAGGTGGAGCAGCTGGTGGAGCAGAGATAACAGCCTGATCCTGAAGGTGGAGAAGACCAAGGAGATCATGGTGGACTTCAGGAAGAAGCGGCCTAACCACGCTCCACTGCTCATCAACAGCTCAGCTGTAGAGGTGGTCAGCAGCACCACATTCATCTTCTTCCCCCCCACCATCAGACAAATCGAGACTCTATCAAACTGTAAACATCATATTTCCACTACTTGGCGAATTTTAAAACTCAGTGTTTCTACTACATTTTACACCATATTCTTCTGATCACTGCTGCAATTATTTAACGTAAACGTTCATTTTATTGCTAAGCTGCTCATTCACTGTTGAAAAGCTGTATGTTTTGTATACAATCTGTGTATCCTTGTTTTCAATCTTCATAAACTTCTGAAAAAGCTCCAGGGAGCTGCAAAGGGGGGGGATTAAAAAGCAGCATGTGGCTCCGGAGCCGCGGGACCCCTGGTCCAGACAGACCCTCTGTCTTTATGCTTCCACCTTCTAAAATGTTAGAGATCAAACGAGGTGCTGATCTTTTAGTCTTTTGGTCTAACTATTGACAGACGTACCAAAAGTCATGTTGATTATTACAGTGATAGAGAGACAGGAATGTTTCTGCCATGAAAGATGCTGCTCTGTTGTTATAGTCGAGTTACTGCAGGCGGCACACACACGTTAAAAGAAAACAAAGCACACCCTCATCACCTCTGCTGCTGGACACAGTTGTCGCAAGTCACAAGCTCTTGTTAGTGACTAGTTGTGTGTTTGTGTGTGAGGATGTGTGCACATGTGGCTTCAGAGTCAGTCCCTCCTAACAGGACTGTCATTAACCCTTGTAGCTCTTCAGAGACCACCCAGATTTTAGTCTGTGTGTTTATGTGCAGCAATGAACTGCTGTGTGGTCTACAAATTGACATTGTGTGCCGTGTTATCTGTCCACTCCAGTCTGTCCATTTGTGCGACTAAGACAACAATCGGCTTTCAGAGAGGAAGACAGAGGTTTATTGTGTAACCATGAAATGCAGTGGGCTGAAAATGGCAGAACTCTCTTCTCACAAAACTAATTTGATCAACATTGGAATGAGATTATTCCAGCTGTCTGTTAGGATGTAGGGATTTGAAAAATGGGGGTAATCCCGCTCTGTTGCTTTGACTTGCATCTAGTTGTCCTTTTGGTACAAGCGTGTGTTCAGATAGATCCTCTCTGCCATCTCTTCAGACAGAAACACGTTTTTCCTCCAATGTTTTTATTGTCATTCCGCTGTCACAAGTACAGAACAACGAAATTCCCTCTCTGCATTTAACCCCTCCCCTTGGGGAGCACTGGGCTGCCATTGTGCTGCACCCGGGGAGCAGTGTGGGGTTAAGGGTCTGGCTCAGGGACCCATGGTGCAGGCTGTGGGACTCAGACTTAGAACCTCTGTATTCCAAGCTCTGTGCCTAACCAGTAGGCCACCCCTCCCCAGCTCCTTCACTCCTCTGAAGCCTTTATGGTAGGAATGGAATCTATAAGTAAACCTGTCTCTCCTGGATCGTGGTCTTCCTCAGACTGGGAGGGGCTCGCTGCCTGCACATGATGACAGTTTGTAAAAAGAGATTAATCCTTTTTAGTTATCGACCAGAGAAAGTTAAGAATCGATCAACGAGTGTTTGTATAAATGAGAACAAATGTTTGAGTAATGAGCAGTTTTTGATGAAAGTGTGCGCCTATGATCAATAGCATCATCCTCTTCCTCCTCTCTTCAGAGTTCTGGGTTCAGAAACATGGCGGAGGTCAAGTCAGTTTTAATTCCCATAAACCTTGCTCCAAGGTGGAGACCAGTTTAAAGTTCTACAATAATTCCGGTCCCATGTCTTGTCTGTGGTCCTCTGTACCACTCAGCCCACCTGTCTCCATCTGAGCGTGTCTGTCTGCGTCGATGCTGGACTCATGGAACTCTGGACCTGCCTAAACGCTCTGAGGACTCCTGGAACCCGGGTCGGGCTTTGGACTCCTGGATCTGGGTCTTCCTGACCTGGATCGGTCTCCTGCCTGCTTAATGGAGCTGCTGCATCGGAGACACTCTGGACGGCTCTGCGCCGCATCTCGTTTGGTAGTCCATCGGCTGATCCTGCCTTCCTCTAAGAGGATGGACTGAACTGTTAAACCAGAGTGCCAGAGTGCCCCCCCCCCCCGCAGCAGCCTGCATTTCTATTTTGTTTTATTATTTCTGTCACTACATGTTTAGAAACTTCCCGCTGTCTGACTCACCTTGAATACTGGGTCCATCGGGCCCTTTCATGACACTTTTATTCTGCTAGCCAAAATCAATATTTAGGGAGGATGATCAATTGTGCCACCAGTCCTTTATGATTTATTATTCTTTCTGTTTTTATTAGTTTCTTCCTACTTTCTGGATTGTGTTTGGCACCAAGATAATCAACTGATTTATTACAAGACTAATTTTGGGAACTGTCCTCATGACTCAGACGTCAGCAGCTGATGTGCTGATAAAACTTTGGAGATGAAACAGATAAATTCATGGATTTGGTTTTGAGCTGGTTTTTCTGGTTAATGTGAGCGGGAGCCTTTCACTGAGCTGTTGATCATCTGCATCATTCATCATATTTAGTTCCTTTGAGAAGCCAGAGTGCAGGAAAAAAATGCAGCCTTCCACTCAAACCCATCCTAACTAAAGTCACCAGGTAATTTTCCAGGTTTACTTTTATATAAGTTTTATATTTAAAATGTCTGAACTTTGATTGCAAAATGGAATAGAAGGCAAACCATTGTCAAACCATCCTTTCAATATAGCAGATTTCTGTCTCTTACTGATGAGATTTTCTGAAAAATATCCAGATTGACAAGATGAAAAACAATTTCAATGAAATTATTGATTTAATATTTACCTTGCCATTGTTGAAGCATTGATTTTAATTTGTGGAGAAATATTCATATAGTTTGGATGAAAAACTTTTGGATTTATGTAAATAAGAACATTTTTTCACATCAAGTTTTTTCTTCTTCAGGTTATCATGCATTACTGTCTATTTTAGTTTTTCAAAAACATTGTGAGCTAAAAATGTTATGGCTCCATAAACATAATTGTCTGTAAAAGGCAGTTTAGCGTGTTTCCATCCCTGACATCCCTCCATGAAATGTCCGAGTCCTCCTGCTCTCTGACTCGGTGCTTCGGGTGTAAGCATGTAAACTCATGTGTGGGTAGGTTGTCAGTGTGCCAGTCCCAAAGCGCTTAGGAATTACGCTTGGATACACAGTGGGCAGCAGCCAAGCAGCTAACGCCCCAGAGAACAGACAGGACAGTGTGCCGAGCGACAGGAAACAGACGGGATGAATGGAGACTTTGCACAGGTGTGGAAGGCATGTGATCCCATTTGAGTTCTTATAAAACCGTAGTTTTACTCTTAAACGTCTGCAGTGGTACCCCCCCCCCCCCGTCCCCCCACTCCAAGCATGTCCTGTAAGGAGCAACGTTGTTTCCAGCATGAAGTAACAAAGATGTTACAGAAACGATACTCAAAGTCATGGTGTAGACTGGAAAAGGCATCGAGGAAGATGAAAATGTTCCTACTGATAAATGGACCAAAGCTCCTTTTTCAGAAGCTGTTTGCATGAAGGGAAACAGAAAAGATAGTTTTGCTCAAAGAGGCCTTTGCAACACTGTAGACCTTCCTCCTTGGGTGCTGATCTGCCCCTTTTGCAATGCTGTAGTGAAACTCCTGCATTCGGAGTGGAGAGAAGAGGCAGAAGTTCTGAATGAACTTGGTCTTCATGAAGTTGTTGGATGAAAGAGTTTGACCTCCAACCGGTGGGTTGTTGGTTCAAGCCCCGGCTCTGGCTTTCAGTGTCATTGTGTCCTTGGGCAAGACACTTCACCTGCATTGCCTCCTGGTGGTGGTCAGAGGGACTGATGGTACCAGTGTACGGCAGCCTTGTAGCTCCCCACCATCAGTGTGTGAATGAGTGACTGAATGTGGTGTAAAGTGCTTTGGTCCAGACTTCTGACTGGAATAAACTGCTGTTTAAGTCCAGAACAACGTCTCTTTCTGCTGTTCTCCCTGATCACCTGCTGTGGTAATAATGACAGCTGTGGCTTTTTTCTTACTGTTTTTCATGTTTCCTCTTGCAGGATTCCTCAGACTGCCTCTCATCCAGCCCAGTCTTCCAGGATAAGTTATCTGGATATTTGGGAATCTTCATCTTCTTGTCCTGTGAGTTTTTCTCTGCTCTATGCTTCTAGTTTGCTGTGAATTCTTCTCCTCCAATGCTGATTTTAACTAACCTGCTCTCAGATGGATGTAGAATGTCCTCCTTTACCTCTTTACCTGCAAGACAACCAGCAGCTGATTAATGGTCAATCTCAGCTCTCTGGGGTTAAATTTATATTTCCTTCATCACAGACTGTAAACTTCTCCATTGCTGTTCACACTGTGAGTGAAACCTGTTGCCTCATTCTGACCTCAGCTCCACCAGCGCTAACCCAGACCTCCATCCAGACCCTCAAACGATAAAACGTTTAAACTGTCTATTGGTCTCAGTTTTAGAGTCACTAACTGTGACACAGACCTGCATCCTGCATAAGAGTAAAAGAAAAAATTACCGGTTTGTGGCCAGTTTAATAATTAACTGGGAACCAGTTACAGACTGGGTTGGAGGTTCAACACCACAATGATTTTGCACATATCGCCATAGAAACAGTGTCACCTTTCAGAGCGAAGCATAATGCTTTTCTGTGCTACCAGGATTTATTTTATGACTGAGGAGTAACAGCGTCAGGTTTAGTCATGTCAGATATTCACACAGCTTGAAAAGTGAGGAAAAGCTGGATGATCCAAATCTAAACACTAACTTAAACTCTGGTTTACACACCCCAAAGCAAACATATTAAGAATGAAGCACCATATTTAACTTAAGCCCCTTCGCTGTGGTTGACAATGAACCCCTCCCTCCAGGTGAGGCACTCAGAGAGACTCGGGACAATTTTAAGGCGTTTTGCTCCTTTCTTTAATTTGCCTCTAAAGTCTCCAGAGGAAGAAAAACTAGAGAAAGTAATTACAGAATAATCCAATTCCACCAAAATAATCCGTTTTATCTTGAAAGATGAGTTTTATTTGCCTTCAATGTGTTTTTGGAAGAGACTTCTTTGTTTCCAGGAGATTTACAGATATAGTGGAAGTTAAGAAATAAAACGGTTTATTAGAATCAAATTGGTTTAATCCTATTGGTTGATGAGGTCAGATCAAAGGGAATCTCTTTCTGCCACTGATCAGTTTCAGGTCGAGTCTTGCTGGTATTTGGAAGTGATGCCAGATGTTGGGCAGCAGAAACAGAAATGAATCCAGATGATTTATAGCAACAAGCTTCTTTGAGACAAGGAGGAATAAATGAGTTTATGAAGGTTTATAGATAAACACAGGATAGATAGCACCTTAAGTTATTACCTAAATAGTGTCTATTTAGCCATTAGCTGCATTAAGAAGCAGTTGCAACTTCTCAGGATGTGATAATAGAAGAGGGGAGAGCCTGACGGCAAAAGGAAGAGGAGATGGGAAAGCTTTTAATATCTGAAGATTCTTAGTCATTCAGGTCAATCTGGAAAAGTTAAGTCTAGGAAGCTGGATGTGAAGTTTTCTAGAAAACCTTTGAACCTCGTCTGAGAGCAACCAGAAGCACCTGCTTCATTGAAATAAAGTGGAAAATAGGTTGATGGCACGTTGTCACAACATAACCTAAGTTTTTCAATGTTTGTTTCCCATTTCTCTACATAGTGCTGGTTTCACATATTAAATGTAACTTTTTTAATTCGGTAACCTAATAGGTTTCTGTTTAGTTATAAGTAAGTAGAATAATGAGCCAGGAATTATGCTAATGCATATCTAATAAAATGGGCACGATAAATAATTCAGATATATACATGTAGAGGTTTTCTGTGATTCAGCAAACAGATTAATGAGACGTTCATGTTAAGGAAAGATCATCAATCAATCAATCAATCAATCAATCAATCAATCAATCAATCAATCAGGGACCACAGCAGCTTCGGATGCAGGAGTTTTCCCTGAAATCAAAGGGTTGATGGTTCAATCCTTTCAGTGTCGTCATGTGCTTGAGCAAGACGCTTCCCAGTGGCGCCAGCGTACGGCGGCCTGGTTTCTGCCAGTGAGCCCCAGGCAGCTGTGGCTATAATGTAGCTCACCACCATCGGTGTGTGGATGGATGAAGGTGGAGTAAAGTTCCCTGGCTTGAAAAAAGCGCTATATAAACACAGGACGTTTACCGTTAATTAGTTGATTGATAAAATCAATTAATTAATTAGTAACTTGCCTTCTTAATAGTGGAAAATATGTCCAAAATATTAAAATAAATTTTTTTTGCTGTTTTTCTGGTTTAAATCCCATAATAAAAAGGTTTTTAGAATTTCCTTCTTTCGCCTACAGAATATCGCACAATTGAGAAATATCCTGTCCAGGGATGATAATTAGGAATCGTTAACTTTAAGGACGGATCAATCAGGTAACAGCAGTAAAAAACATTCAACTGATTCAAATGCTGCAGCTCCAGACTTTATTTACATTTAAGTTCAATTCAGTTTATTTCTATAGCGCCAATTAAACACAAGTCATCTCAAGGAACTTTACAGTTCAACCAGATCAGACAGTCAAATGATTTAAAAGAGAATATCTCCTATCTTTATTTTTTTACCTTCATTGGCTTCCTGTTTAACAAAGTTAAAAATGTATCTTCATCCCTTTTGACATAAATACTGACTCACATTGTCTTTTCTAGTCGTGGTCACCTATGGAGTTGGTTTACCGTTGCCTTTATTTATCATCGTATTTATGGATAATGTTCTATGTTCCGTAAGACTGAGTGTGGTTCTGCAGGAGGTTTCTTCCTGTTAAAGGAGAAGTTTTCCTCTCTACCATCCCCGCATGTTTGATGGCGTGACGGATTGTTGCATAGTCAACATCCACAGCGTCCACATGCACATCGAGGAGGAGCGAATCCTGAGGAGTCAATGAGTCGATGCAATCAGCTGGTTTTCCTTAGATAGAAAACTTTGAATCAATCTGACTGGATGATCTGGTTGATCTGGATCTATAAAGTGAGATGACATGATGTGAATTGGAGATATAGAAAATAAATGAATTGTGTTAAATACATACACTACACCATTACAAAGAACTTTATGAATCTAATACAGGCTGCAGTTTACCAGTAAATATATCAGTAAAAATAGGGATTATAACCTCGATCCGTAGGTCTAATATAGCAGAAACAGAATATCCTGTGAAATGTGCAATAAATTTATATTTATATGTAAATATTACATCCTGCAACAAGACACAAATGTTTTTCTAAGACATTAAGGAAAAGACAGTGGATCACTTTAAGGCTTTAATGAACTAGACTCCCTGTAATTATACTGAATAATTCTAAATAATTATAATTATAATCTATTACCTCACACTATGGGCCAAAATGAGAAAGCAGCCAAACAGCAGTTTCTGTCCTCTGAAATCCTGCAGGCAGCTGCTTCTGAGGATGGATTAACATTTTAGCTCAGATTCCATCATCTCTGCAGGGTTGGGACTATAAATCTGATATCTGAGACAACCGTACTGCTGCTGCGCTGAAAAAGGACGGATCTGTTTCAATCCACGGACAAAACTCTTCCACTCTCCCTGTTTTTATGGACATTCAAGGACCCAGTCCAGGTAGACCAGGTAGACCTGGACCTTGGGGCACCCAGTCCAGGTAGACCAGGTAGACCTGGACCTTGGGGCACCCAGTCCAGGTAGACCAGGTAGACCTGGACCTTGGAGGATCCAGCTGCTGAAATCAAACGCATCATTTTTATTTTCACACATTTATGATTCTTATATATTTCCTCTGTCTTTAATTTAACAGAAAAAAAACCCTAAACCAAAAAGTGTTAATTTCTTTGTGAGTGAGAGTGACTAAAGGGAAAAATCAGCTGGGATTAAATACTTCGTCGCTCAGCTATATTTCCTAACTCACCATTAAAGGCTTTACTCGCTATTTATCTGTCTTTAGCAAACAGAGCAAAACAAGCACTGACTTTATTCTCGACACACCAAATGATCCTGTGATGCGCTTCACAAGGTTTTAATTACTGCCCTCCTGAAAGAGAGAAAGAGCGAAAGCATGAAGGCTTTCACAGAGGGAGACGCTTTTAATGACAGAAATTAAAGGTCTGGTTTCCCTTCAAATTTAACACAAACAATGTAAACTTTTCAAAGTTTAGTTTCCTGTTATTATGACATGAAACCCAAACTAGCATTTTAATGCAGGACGTCGTCTCTGTAAAGTAACAGTGATAAAAGCTGCAGCTACTCGAAACAGTAAAAATAATTCAAACTGAAATGTTACGGTTTTAGCAAAGCGCTCAGGTCTCATGGACACGTTTATAACAGCCTTACAGACTTTCTCTGGTTTTCCTTTGGTCACATTTAAATTAATCACAAGAAGAAAACCAGATTAAATACAAAGGCAGCTTTAAACTGCTGCTTATTTATAGATAGCAACACATTTTGCCCCAAACTGAAGAAATTCAAGAACAGATGAGAAGTTAGTCTGGTTAAGGTTGGGAAAGGTTAGAGAATCCTGAACAAAAAAAGACGAAACCAAGATGAAGATAAAGTCCCATCAAGGTTTGACATGAAAGCTTCTGATGATCCTAGAAGGTTGGTGTCCTTCTAATTAAATAGCTCTGATTAAAAACGATGCTTTAATGGCCTGGTTCTGCTTTTTAACTATTTCCTACAGGTAACAGATAGAAACACGAGTCTAGACCAAAGATCCGGAGAAAGAAACTTTAAACAGCAGTTTGTGACTTTTGGTTCAATCACACTAAGTTTCTACAACATAACAATAATCTAAAGCAAACCAACTCAGGGCTAAACGATCTTAATATTATTATTATTCTAAAGTAGGGTTTTAGAGAAACCATTGACATGTTGTAGCATGATCTCGCACTCTAACTAGTTAGTGTGGTTCTATGCTGACTATGGAACATCTTTGTCTTCTACATCTATATTTTACTAACCACAGAAGTACCATTGCACCTATGTCCAGCGACCCACTGCATCCATCCCAAAATATTTACCAACCAGCTCGCCCTTTACTTCCTACTGACCAAGACAGTCTGACCTGACCTTTGACCTTTTCCCCTCGTATCACCTGCCAT